CCATAGTCAGTATTAATCCAGTTACAAATCTTTGAATACTCCTGATTTTTGACTTTCAAATTTAGAAAATATAAAATTTTTAATTTAAAAAATTTTTATTTTTTTTTAAAGATTTTATTTATTTATTTGACAGAGAGAGTGAGAGAGCACAAGCAGGGGGAACAGTAGAGGGAGAGGAAGAAGCAGGCTCCCCGCCAAGCAGGGACCCTGATGCGGGGCTCGATCCCAGGACCCTGAGATCATGACCTGAGCCTAAGGCAGACGCTTAATCATCTGAGCCACCCAGGCACCCCTAAAAAAATTTTTAAATAAAACATTTAAATTTAGAAAATATAAAATAAAAATTTCACAATATTAAAAAAAAAGATTCTAGCAAATACCAGATTCTCTGATGGAGAAAGGGAAGCCCACAAGCACTCCCACATTAATGACGTCTGTCCCACCACAATTATGAAATATCCACACTGTGCCCAGACTGGACACAGCATCTGGAAGATCAGAATCTGAAGAGAGTCAAAACCAGTGTTTGAAAAGCCAGGACATATTTCAAGTAGAAAAGGAAGATCAGTTAAAAAACAATGAGCACTTAGTAAAACTGCTCTCATGTACCCAATCTCTGACTTACCCTGAGGTCCTGCACCTACTGTTCCCTCCCTGCTCACCAACCTACACTTCTCCATTTACTACCATCTTAATAATACCCTCCACTCCCCTTTCAAAATCTATTGTTTCTTCCTATTGACACAAAACAGCAACAGACAACGTCAGAAGCCCCAGCACTTACACCACCTGCAACTCAGTGATGGAAACTCCCTTTCAAGGAAGCAGAGTTTTTTCCTCGGTAAATAAAGAAAAGGATAGAATCAGAAATATTCTTATGAATGATCTCAAGTAAAACTCAAGTGAGTGGCAAATCTGATGTTCTTCTGAGTACAGATTTTCATAGAATAGACAAAGCTGAAGAACTAACTGGAGGAGGAAAAAACTAGACTATTTTTCAAGGGCTGAGTCTGGGCAGAACTCCTGATTTCTTTGTGATATGATGGGGGAAAGATCTGGTCAGGGTCACTCATGAAACCATCTGTTTTCCAGGATGGATGTCTTCACTTCCTACCATGGACCCAAACTCAAAACTACACTTCAACCCAGAACCTTATCCCACTGTGTTCACATGTGTTCTGAGGGATGTTCTTGGATGTTATGAGAAAACTGTAATCTATGGCCCAATAAATTTGGGGATTTCATGGACTAGTGTACAACTCAAGAGTGAAATAGAAAAGACAGCTTCTCTAAAACCGTGGTTCTCAGAGTGCGGACTATATAACTCTGTGAACCAATATCTTCCGAATAATCAATGCATGATGTTACACAGTCATACGTGCTTAAAAGATTCTTAAAAATGCATGACAGATCAGTGGATTTTATTTATTTTTTATTTTCTTCTTAAAAGACTTTATTCATTTATTTGACAGAGAGAGACAGGGAGAGAGGAAACACAAGCAGGGGGAGCAGGAGAGGGAGAAGCAGGCCTCCTGCTGAGCAGGGAGCCAGATGTGGGGCTAGACCTCAGGACTCCAGGATCATGACCTGAGCCAAAGGCAGATGCTTAACAACTGAGCCATCCAGGTACCCCAGATCAATGGATTTTAATATAACAAAGTGCAAGAGCGTTTTGATACAATTTCAAATTTCATATTGCAACAAGCCTTTAAGCAACTACCACTTGTCAAGTTTTGGTATAGTAGTAAAAAAATATCCACAATTTTCTAAAAAGGCTATAAAATGTTTCTCCATTTTCCTACCACATAGCTGTGTGAGGACAAGTTTTCTTCATATACTCAACCAAAATAACATGACAGAATGAATGAAGAAGCAGTGGAGAATCCAGTAGTAGTTGTCTATTAATCCAGATAAAAAAAGATGTGAAAAAACAAGCAAACAAAAAACCAAGAAGTAAAACTATGTCACTCTTATCATTAAATATTTTTGGAAAATATATAGTTATTTTTCACAAAAATATTCCTTATGCTAACACATAAGGGGCATATTACTTTTGTTTTTTAACAAATGAAGAAATTAGTACCTTCATAATTTCTGTTTTAATTTCTAGTACAGTAATTATTAATAAATATAACCCACCTCCATGCTCTTTGGGATCCTCAATAATTTTTAAGACTAAAAAGGGATCCTCACGTCAAAAAGTTGGAGATGCTGACCTAATGCATTTTGATCGTGGAAGCCTTTCTCTATGGAACACCTTGAATGTATTCTATGGAACATACAATGGGAAACACAGTCTCATCTTGGGTTCTAAAAATTATTCCTCTATATGCCTCTTCTCCCTAGACATTTTCAGCAAGTTAATTTATATACTATTTAAGGGTTTCCTCTCAAGTAGTAGTTTTGTGCTTCTAACCCTGGCAGTAAATGCATATATCTCCTCTGGCAAGCACCACCGAAAGTGACCTCATCTATTTAGGAGAGGCCTTAATCTGGAGAATGATTTCACTGAGCAAATGTTTCAAATAATCACGAGAAATGATGACATAGGTTAACATGCTCCATCAGCAGATAATCTGCTACCATGAGATATGGTGCCAGAGATGTCCCAAGAACATCAAAGCTATGATGCCCGATGGAGAATCGGGGCCAATTTGGTTTACCATGCAGTTTCCAACAAAACTGAATCACTGATTGAGGTAACTCTGCTACAGATTACTCTTTTAAACAAGGAGCAGGATGACAGCAATGTATTACTCCGAGTACTGGCAATTTGTGCTTGGAAGAATTGTATGCAAGCCAAAAATAACTCAAGACCTAATTCATATTTCTACCATGGCTTTTCAGAACACAGAGTAAGGCCAGTTGTCTACTTTCAGCAACACTGGGAGCTCCAGTTACAGAATTTAGTTATAAATCTCTTTTTCCTGTTAGGCATCTGGATGACTGGCCAGGAGCCTGTTCTCAGACGGCTGTAAAAAATTTTGGGAAAGAGTCAAAAGTGTAAAGTGCTGGACAACTATTCCACACAAAGACTCTCCCCAAGGAAATTCAGTCCTTATATAGAGCAGGCCTGGAGTACAGGCTGTTCAGTCCTTTCATTTACATTCTGGAATTTGCCCAAATAAGAGTAACCATTAAGTTTATTTATGCAGTTTTTAAAGTATCTAGTTTATAAAAATGTTGCTCAAGGATGACCAGGATCTTGGGAGCTGAAGACACTCATCTTGGCCTCCTTTTTCCTGTTACCTTAGACTTAAAGTGAAATTAGCATTTCCTCTGCTTCCAGTAAAACTTCCTTTAATGAAGATTTTTTTATGGCTGTCAGTGCTTCCTAAGGTGTCGTTCTAGCTCATTTGGTCCCCCTGGCAACATTATGAGATAGACATGCTAATTATCCCCATTTTACAGATGAGACAATAGGCTCAGAGTTGCGTGAGGCCACCAGTTTATAAGCGGCAGACTGGACTGGAATTTGGTCCCTCAGAACCTCTGTACTGGGATGCTGTCCCGTCTATTTGAGATGCATGGATAATAACATTAAATGATTTATGACTAAGGAGATACCCAGTTCTGTGGGTAAAGTAGTGGTTGTAAGCTTCATTGAAGAAAACCTTCCTTAGAGCCAGTGTGTTAGGCTCCGTTCTCTGTCTTCCAGTCATGACCTGGACACGGTCCACGGGCGATCTACCTACCACTGCCTCTGCCTTCCTTCTAGCCTGTACTGATATCCTCTTGCACGGCATCTGAAGCAGCACTCACTGAATGAATGAGCCCAAGAACCACTTTTGCTTAAAAGGAAATCTCTAAGAACCTACTTAGGTCACCAAGAGCATGAATTTCTAAATGAAGTTCTTGCACCCTGGAGGGTGTGCAGAACAAACAAACAAAAAACCAACAAAACAGTGCGGTACAGAGAGAAAAACATTAGCATTTCTATTTCCATTTACTGACATTTACCACATGATTGGCACTGGCCTCCTCACTCAGTGCATGGCAGACAGCCACAGAGGGATGCTAGGCCTGGCAGGGGCATTCCTCAGCCCATGGGGTTAGCCAGCAGTGGAGGCTATATCAAAGTTCACATGGGCCCAGTTGAGAACGTGACCGTAGGGATTATGTTTTCAATTTTACCTAAACTGAGCCTCACAAAATGGACAAGTGACTTTAAACAGGTCCTGCACAGAACCGCAAAACAAGGTAACAACAATGCAAGCACCAATACCCAGGAAAGTCATAGAGCTGACTATACTTTTACCATTTCTCATATGATACTTTTCTCAGCCACATCATGAGATATAACAATAACGAGTTAATCAGATCTGACACAAAGTTGGCATCCACACACACAAAACCTGCAAGTATCAAAACTTGGATTCATATCCACCATTCTTATCAACAGTCTTCGCCTAAGTGACCGTGATACCTTGGGAAATTGGCTAATAGTATTCATACGTAACTTCTAAATACATATATATTTTTTAACAGGGTCAAAGATGTGGAGCTCACTGATGTAGGTAGGACTCTACTACCCAAACTGCAATCTGCAAAGGAACAGCATCAGCCTCACCCTGGCAGCTTGTTAGAAATGTAGTCTTAGGGTCCGTCCCAGACCTCCTGGACCCAAATTTGTATTTTAACAAGATCTCCAGGTGATTCATGTGCACATTTCTGTTCGAGAAGCACTGCTTTAGAACACACACCTTAAATGATCTGAACCCTAACAGTTCAGCTCTTATTTACAAGTTGAGGCAGATTTCTCTGTTGAATTTTTGAACTCATAAAATTATAATTCCTAATAGCTGTTGTCAAATGTTCTTCAAAACTATAAAAAAAACCAAAACTATCCCCATAAACCAAAAAACCCAGCGAAATAATCTATGTATGACCACAGCATCCTCTTATTCATCCCAGTATCCATAAAGTCAATGTCCTGACCCCCAGTGCAATGAAAGCCATCCCGCTACACCTCCATCGCTTTCATCCCCACTTCCACTTACTTTTGTTTGATCGTCGGCTTTGAACACATAGCAGATACTCTGCTGACTGGCTGCATTGTCCTTAATCAGACAAGCAAAGTAACTTGGATCGTGACTGTTGTGAATCAGTTTGTGAGCATGCTGGGGCTTACACTCGAAGATGCTGGAACATATCAGCGGATCCCACTGTTGACTCTTCCCCGGCTCGGAGTCACATCTCAGTCCAGAGGGGGAAACACAAAGCCGGACTTGCCTGGCACCAGGCTCCTTTTTGGAGGACTGCCCACTGAGCCTGCGCACCTCCGCCACGGCCCAGGGCAGCATCGGCATGGTGGTCAGAGAGTGCACACGCAAGGAGCCCACCAGCTGCAGGCTGAAGTCCACGGAGGCCTCGTGAGGAAACAGATGCTTCCTCGCTGTGAATGTTATTGGTTCCATCTTGGGAAAGGTCTGGAAACTCAGCAAAACGTTGCCACTGTTTTCTGTTTTAGAACGAGTAATCTATTTTATGTGTTTCTGAGGCAGAATCCTGGGGGAGAAAAACAAAGGCATGAGAATTTAATGAAATCACAGCAATAGCTACTTTTGAAGAGTTACTATTTCAGAGGAACTTTTATAAAAGCCTGAAACCCAAACATGGGAAGAAACGGATCTTCGTTCAAGCAAGATGCCTGGCCTAGAAAGAGCCTTCTTGAACCTGTGCTTCAGATAAAACCCGAAAATGCCATAACTGTCACATTCACTACAGGTTACAAAGATCTCACCGGGAAACTCCTGTGAAACATCTGTAAGCCTTGTAGAGCCATCAGAAGCAGGCAGGACAGAAAACAGTATCGTCCTGCTCAGATACCTTTAAATCCTGTTCTATTAACACATATTTCAAGGAATTTTTTTTTAAGTAATCTCTATGCCCAGTGTGGGGCTTGAACTCATGACCCCGATATCAAGAGTTGCATGCTCTATGGACTGAGCCAGCCAGGTATCCCTTAAGGAATTTTTTTAAAGATACTCAAATTCAGCAGTGGTGATTCTCCCTCCAAAAAGTAATCTTGAGAGAAAAGCAGCTATCTATCCATTATCATAGTCCACTGAACCAGACCAGTTTTCAACAACTGACCTTTTCAATTATGATACTACTTAAGTTTTAAAAGCCTCTCCCTGACATAGTCCAGAGGTGCTGAACATGAATTCAAATTTCATTACCATGTAATTGGTGCCAGTTATGCTCCAAATATCACCATAAATATTGTTTCATTCAATTCATGTATTATAAGCCGTCACGCCCACACATTGCCTCTCCTCATCAATAGATGATGCTGCTTCCGGTCGACCAAACTCTCTCACCTGCCTTCCCCCTCTATGGGTGATTTTCAACAACCACATCTGATGCATCCTAACGCCTTCCTGTTCCACTGGGGACGAAACCCTTCTGTGCAGAGCTGACCTGTGTACAGGATCTCAAGCCTCGTCCTTCCCCAGCTGCTCACCGGATCTTCCTTCTGTCATGTACTCCCTGAGCACCTACCTATACACTGCATCTGTCTGATTCACCATTGTGTCCCCAGTGCCTGGCAGCGTCTGACTCACAACAGAGGCTCAATAACATTGTAAACAAATGAATGAAGTCTCTCCCATCTGAAAAAAAAAAAAAAAGACTTTTTCCCTTGACCTCAACCCTCCCGAGCCACAACTCTTCCTTCCCCACACAACTTTCTTCTACACTTACTGGCTCACTTCCTACTGCCCATCAACAATCTCGATTGTGACCAGATGCACTGCCTATGCATTGAACTTGCTCCCATGAAGGTCATCCACATCTTCTGGCTGTGAAACCCACAGGGGGCTTTTTAGTCCTTAACTGCCTTGTCCTTTCTGATGCATTTCTCAATGGTGACCACTCCCTCCTGCTTGAAAATCTTCTGTTTCTCCTCTTACCTTGCTGGTTGCTTCTTTTCAGGTTCTTGGATGGCTTTCCCCGCTGTTTAACTCCATCCCTTCTCCTCATTCCACCTGCTTTCTTTGGACAGTCTCACCTAATGGCTTGGGCGTCCACAACCACATTCAAAGAGTCCTGCTGGGGCTGCTAGCAGCTTTCTGCACTCCGGGCATATTGCAAGATCTTCATCTCCAACCCCAGCCTCGGTTACAGATTCCTAGTATTGCCATCGTCGGGACCTAGGTCACTGAGCTTGAGTTGTTTGTCACAGGTGGGCGTGGGAGGGTCGGCTCCTGATTCTCGACCCATCCTCTTGAGTGCTGCCCGAGAATGGCAGCGACCACATAGACCCTGATGATTCCCATGCGAATGTCTCCCACTGAACCTCCTTCCTGAGATCCAGATCAGGGCAGACCATTCAATATTTCTATCTGGATAGCCTAGAGCTACCTCAGCCTCAATGCAGTCATTTTTAAAGATTTATTACTTATTTTAGAGAGAGAGTGTGTGTGCGTGCAAGCAGGGGGAGGGGCTCAGGGAGAGGGAGAGAAGCAGACTCCCCACTGAGCCTGGAGCCCCACACAAGGCTTGATCCCACAACCCCGAGATCATGACCCGAGCCGAAATCAAGAGTCAGATGCTTAACGTGCTGAGCCACCCAGGCGCCCCTCAGTTTAGTTATTTTAAACTAACTCAGTCTCACCTCCCCCCTTCCCAGAACTTCTCTTGCTGCCCATAGCATTAAATAGTAAATAGCATTACTAGTTTATTGGCCAAGCCAAAGGCCAAGGAGTCATTGCTACAGACTGAATGTTGAACTCCTAATTCCCAATGTGATAGTATTTGGAGGTTGGGCCTTTGGGAGGTGATTAGGTCATGAGACTGAAACCCTTATGAATGGGATTAGTGCCCTCATAAAGAGACCCGGGGTACTCCCTTGCCCCCTCCCACCATGTGAGGAAATAAGAGACAAGACGGCTGTGTATGAACTGGGAATATATTCAATATTCAAATTCTAAACATTTTCTGAAATAGAACTGAAGTCTATTCCTTTAACTCTATATTTTTCTATATCATACAGATGCATAAATGATAAGAGTGAATTTTTATAATAGGATTTGAACACAGTTCAGAGCTAGTTTTTAATTTTAAACGTTCAAAAGTTCAGAAATAAACCCACACTTTCAAGCTCCAACATAGTTCGTGGAAACGTAGTCCCTGTCTCTTCTCCTTTAAAGTACAACCTCTCTTGATGATAAAAACAGACTTGAAGTTCATATAACCCCATAAATAATGGTCTCTCCCTCTCTCTCTCTTCATTTTTCTCTCTTTCACCTGGTGAGAGTGGCATTAAATGTCTGGCTCAACTTCCACTCCTGTAACTGAATCTGTTTCAAGTTCTAACTGTTGACAGCTGCTAATCCCAAGATATGTTTAAAGAAGTACTAGAATTATTACAAAGGGGAGACCTGAGCTCTACCAATTGGTGTAGACGAGGCAATTACTAATATGGTGGCAACAACAGACAGAATTATTTTTAGTTTTCTTGTAAGGCGATACATACATAGTGCAAAAAAATTACACAATTTAGAATTTCAAACATTTAGTATATAGTCATCAAATTAGTTCTGCCGTGTCATTGACAAAACTAATTAAATGCCTAGAGTTTTCATTTTTGAACCAGCCATGGCACATTCTTAGTTTCTCTGTAAAAAGTAGATTGGTCCGTAACACTGTTTGTAAACTATCAAATAAGTTCTACGCCAGGGAGTGTCTGGCCGGCTCAGTCAGATGAGCATGTAACCCTTGATCTCAGGGTGATGAGTTCGAGCCCCAAGTTCGGTGTAGAGATTACTTAAATAAGTAAAAATTAAAGAAAAAAAGTTCTACCCCAAAGATAGCATAATTATTTGTCATCAATTCAGATTCTGCTGATGTAAGATTCATGGTAACTTAGACTAGGTGAGTCACTGTCTGTACTACTTTTCAATAAAAAGTTCTGTGAAACAGAGGATCTAGTCAAATAATACTAATATACCATTAGATTATTTTTTAAGCCATCTCAGTCCACATCACTGGCATGCAACCTCTGACCATCCGTCCCGAGTAGAACTACCAATTCTAAGAGGGCTCTTGTGCTCCTACCCTCAGTAAGAAATGCCGCGATCTGTTTACCCAGGAACTTCTAGTTATGTTCTTGTTGGTAGAATCATCGGTATACAAACTCTATCCCTCACAGAGACCATCTGTATGCTACACAATTCCCACCGACCACAGTCCATAAACATGGTAGGCATCCCAAACACAAAGATACTCTTATTAGAACAGTTGCAATCATCTCTTTAGTGAGTCCTTCTATATCAAATATCCCTGAAAGCATGCACTTAGAATTATAAAATCTGAATGTCAGAAATGTCCTTTTAAGCTCTTTAGAAATTTCCCTTATATTTGAAGGGCACCTGACTGGCTCAGTGAGTTAAGGGTCTGCCTTCGGCTCAGGTCATGATCCCAGGGTCCTGGGATCGAGCCCCGCATCGGGCTCCCTGCTCAGTGGGGAGCCTGCTTCTAGCTCTCCTTCTGCCGCTCCTCCTGCTTGTGCTCTCTCTCTCTCTGTCAGGTAAATAAATAAAATCCCTAAAAAAAATTTTTTTCCCTTATATTTGAAATGAGGCAATGTGGTTCTGGAGAAGTTAAGTGGTTTGTCCAAGTTGGGTGACAGAATTAGGACAATCCGATCCCTGACTGCCATCCAAGTGCAGCAGAGAACCTCAGTTTCCTGATAAAAACATTTTCAAGGGTCAAGTTGAGAAAGCGAGTCACTTAACTTCTCCAAATCTCAAGTTTATTCTTAGAAGAGAACGGAATAAGATGATCCTCAAGTTGTCCTCTATCTCTAAAATCGGGTAAATCTAATTTTCATAATGTATAATACCAAATGTCCCCGACGTTGTGTGGGTATATAAAGCTGCTCTCATCTTCTTGTCAAGAATACAAATGTGGGGGAGGTACAAGAAGAAAGAATGGGGTTTATTGATCAGGAAACGAGAGAAGAGATGGCAGGAGTTAGCAAGCTGCCGTTGGGAACCCCCTCTCTTCCCAGCCTGCCTCCATGCTGTCCCAGCAAACCATGGGGAATAGGAGGGGGACTTTCCAGAAGCTAGCGATAAACACCAACAGCCACAGCACATTCAGCCGTCACCTTCTCAGAGTGCTGGTGGGAGGGGAGGAGGAAATAAAAGAGGGATAGACAGGAGAGGTGTTGAAGCTTCTAGCTCCAAGCCAGGTTAGGAACCAGCCAAGACTGATCAGCTGTCGGGGACCTCCCCCCTGCTCCCCGGGATGAGCCGGGAGTCCCCAGAGAGCTATTCACTTCCCCTTACAAATCAGTGGTTTCATTTTTCTGCTCTTTACTCCAGAGAGAGGGGGCATGCAGCTGAACAGAATTATTCTGCCACCCGAATATTCTAGTCTCATGCAGTAAGATCACCCGGGGCATGGCTACACTATTTGTCCCAGGATCTCACCCAATCAGAGCAGTGCGCTGCTACCTACGAATTGCCCACGGGCTCCAAAGATCTTTTGGGCAGCAGGCTATTTCACACAGAGCCATCACACAGAACTTCTGGAGCCCGTGGATCTAACCTCTTCATCACCAAGGACGCTCCAGCCCCAGTATGCACCTCTCTAATTTGACACATGAAGTAATGATGTTTGGAATGACTTCCTTCCTACATAAATCAGGGCCAATGTAAACCTAGTCCTTTAGGATGCCATGGCCACTTCCTGTATTCGCTTCTACTTTATGGCACAGGGTAATGGGGCAGGGGCCCTTGCTGGCCCTCAGGGATGTATATCCCTCCCTCCGGCATGACTGCTTTGTTATTCTCCTGAAAGTAATAATAGTAACTGTGAACACATCCGTAATAGCACTTACTGTGTGACTGTTAACTGAGCTCTCACAACAACCCTGGACAAGAAAGACTATTATTATCATATCTAAATAAGGACTCCAGTGGATTTTTTACCATTATCAGATAAGAGATGAGAAAGTGCTAGCACAGAGAAGTAAGGTCACTTGCCCAAGATCATCCTAGCAGCAGATGGGAGAACCAGGTTTTGAACCCAGGGCCTTCTACTCCAGACTTTGCATTTGCTCTTAACCACTTTGCTAGAGGAATACTTATTGACCAATGACCTCTTCTTGGACATTACATACATGATCTTCTGTATTCTTACAACTCTGAGATGTATGTTTTATCATCCCCATTTCCATACGGGTCCCCTAGCTAATGGTGTAGGCAGGATTTGTCTTATGCCCAAATTTCTATTCTTTGTGACAGAAACATATCTAGAAGGAAATAACTAAAATATCTTTCTAGTGAATTAGCTGGGTGGCTTTTCTATCGAAACTTTGCTTGGTCTCATTAATCGAAATCTAATGTCAAAATTATACCTTAGAAGTACAAAATAAACAAATAAAAATAATAATAGCAATAAGTAATATTTACTGAGTGCTCACTATGTAACAGGCACTGTTCTAAGAACTTTATATGTATAAATGCATTAAGTTTGACAACAAACTCCTAAGTATTTACCTACTTTGGAAACTTAGATTTACTGATCATAATTAATGTGTAGTTAAATACGTACACTCTCTTTTTAAGAGAAAAACACTGCTGCCTGTCACAAAGAACACAGGCATACTCAAAAATTAAACACCTCTTTGTTGGCACTAAAACATATTTCCTACATTCTGCACAGCTTTACTGAAACCCAAGTGTCAAGATTATTCATACGGCCCAAATATGATGAATCCTTTTCTAAACATTCGAAAACCTGAAAAGGGACACATTGCCCTTAAATCTAACAACCCACCCAATGGAAATCTCAGCTTGAAAATGTTAAAAATTGTGAGAATGGAAACCATCATGTCTTCTGTGAAGAATCTGGTTAAAAAACCTTTTTCTTGGGATGTGGGTTGGAAAGGAAGAAATGAAGATAAAAGTCAGCTAAGGCAATTCGTAAGGTACTGTAAGGGGTTCTGCACTGAAAACCCACATCCTCTGCCATCACCAGGGGGCTTCGAACCCAACGCTGCCTGTCTGCTGAGTGGAATCAGTCACTTTACCACACAGACTCTGATCCTCCAAGTTTTAATGGCCAAGAAAAGAAGAGGGCTGAAAAACATATCATATATTGGGACGCTCGTGGCCATCATACTTAAGAAGCACAGCCCAGCAGAAGAGGGGTGGGCCGGGGGGGAAGGCAAGGCAAGCTACCCCAACACATAAGCAGACTTAGGTCATCTGGGGAATGTAAGGAGCCGAGGCTGGGGATCTTCAGAGAAATGCCACGAAGAGTGGAAAAGGGGCCTGAGGGAGTTGTCATTTTGACAAGATAAAATTAAAAGCCTTTTCAAAGACAGAAGAATCCTCTCAAGCAGGCATCCCTACTCCAGGCACCATAATGATGGAACATGCTGGGTGTGAATGGGGAACAGGTAAGTGCCACTCCCTGCTGGTACCCGTGGTCTGTCCCAGAAGATCCCAGAAGATCTGGCAGAAAGGAGCCGCCCACCCACACCTGGCTCTGCACAGGAGTCTATTTGATTGTGATGCAGCCTCTCTGGTGGAGGCTGCCTTCTCCGGAAATGGAGGGCAAAGCCTGTCAACAGCTGGATAATGAGGAAGAAGAGGCAAGCTGCATTTCCTCAGAGTCACTCACTTCCTCCTCATACCCTCTGGTACTTCCTACAACAATCAATGGGGGAGAAGTCATCCCAATACTGATACAACAGCACTCAACCAGAAATGCTATCATAGTGAAAAGGGAAATCCCCAGACCCCCCAGTAGGAAAGATAGTGGTAGACTGTGGTAGACATTTGCAAAACTTAAATTTGATGTCAATAATTTACAACTACACCGATGAATTTTCCCCCTATTTTGCTGGTTTGCAAATGGCTGGACAAATCAACATAAAAACATTTATTTTCACATATGATAATTTTATTTACTGCTTTGAGCCACACTTAGTCCCTTTTACATCTCCTTGCACTCAGTTAATAGTCTCAGGATATTCCTCTTGCGTTCACTTCAGAAAGTATCCCCTAAACATTTCACACGGCACCAGGTAATTCACAGCTGTGTCCACTGTCCCATAGCTCATATTATGTCAATGGTTACTTACGGATAAAACTAAGGAGAAAGCCCTTTTTATGGTCTGATTTCCCTATAACTTGGTAGAAAAAAAAAAAAGAAGCAGGGAGATTCAAGACCGTGATAAGCATTCCATTTCAAACAGTTCTAAAACGCCTGTTTACAAAAGCAGTCAATCCTCTTTTATACAGACTTTTTCATGCAATGTCCTTATTCCTTTAGACAGTCTTCAGGATTCTCAGGAAGGAGCTGATCGTGAGGAACACTGGCCCCCAAGCAAGAGAAGCCATCTGAACTCTAGCTGCTTCAGGGGTCCCTAACCCAAGATAGTACTAGAACATGAAGTGCTCAGAAACACGGGAGAGTCATTTAGCAAGGTGAATCCCCAGCCTCTTGCAACAACTCCCCCATTCAGTCTTCCACCCCAGCCCCTCCCACACAGAGCAGGCTCCCAACACACCCCAAAACCCAGACGTGGCTATGCTCCAACTCTTATCAATCCCTTCAAATCTAGGCAGAGAATGAATTTCTCTTTTCCAAAAGAAGGGGTCTCTACCAAGGCCTCTGTAGTTCTGCTTAAGTACAGTGTGAGAAGTTTTGAAGTTTGGCCTTGTAAAGAGAGCGGAATTTCTTGGGTGTGACCCATTTAAACCAGGTCATTTAAAAATGCTCTTTCAAAGTCTGATTATATTAATAAATGAAATCATCCAATCATCTAAAAGGAAGAATGAGAGATCTAGACCTATCCATTAATGTAAGACACTCTGAAAATTAAACTGTTTGGTGGGAGGAACAATCATCACTTTCAATTTCTTTTCCTTTTTAAGCAATTTTCAGAGAATAATCTATTTTAAACAAAATAACAGGTAAAGCCACCTCTAGGTGGATTTCAAAGAAAACAGTCTCTTAAACACAACAACAACAGTGTGTGGCGAAGTTTAAGGGGTCTCCTAATCACAGAACGATCAGGAAGCTGCTAGAAACAATTAAGCAGGGTTTCAAAATGACTGGTACAGGATGTGCCCATAGAAAGAAATGTTGTGCGCTCTGCTGGAGCTGCCCAAGTCACTAGTGCAAAGTACCGTGAACTTTTAAAGGATGGCAAGGGGTCACTATGACCATCCTTCCCCCCCCAATCCGGTCGCCCTACAAACACAGCAGCCCCCAGAGATACTTGGCGGGAGGGGGTAGATGCCGAGCGAGCAGGAGCGAAGGGGGGCTGGAGGAGGGTGCTTGTCGGAGCTCCTGCGCGGTCATGAACTTGAAGGTTTCACTTTCGTTCAAGTAGGGGGGCAACGAGGTGGCAATGAACCCCACCCGCCCCCCCCGGAAGCCCCCCGCGCGGCGAGCACAGCACGAACGCCCTTGGGCTGCCGGATTCCAGCTTCGCGGGCCCGGGAGCACAGGGGTGTGCTTGGTGCCGGGTGGCGGCCGGGATGCCGCCGGAGGCGTGAAAGCCCCGGAGAGCACCTACCTGTACCGCGGCGCGCTCAGAGCCCGGGGCCCGGCCGGGGCGCGCAGGTGCTCGGGGGCGGCGCGGGGACGGCCTGGGCGGGCGGGGCGCCCATCGTGCGGGCTGGCTGCGCTCTTCCGCGGGGCGTGGAGGGGGGCCGGGAGGGATCCCCTCCGCTCGGCTCCCGCCTCTTCTACGCCCGGCTGAGGACACGGCGGGTTCCGCGGCGGCGGCAGCAACAGGCACGGTGGCGCGGAGGCTGCGGCGGCGGCGAAAGAGGAGGAGGTGTCTGCGCGCGGCTCGCGTTTCCTCCTCCCCGGCTGGGCGAGCGCGGGGGGAGTCGAGGGGAGGGCAGAAGCCGGGATCGCCCAAGTCGGTCCCCAGGGACCTAAGAGGGGGACGCGGTGCTCCCTCCCTCCCCCCTGCGCCTTGTGACTCTGCCCGGGCGGCACGGCCGGGACAGGCGAGTCACACGCGGGTAACAGCTGCTGCAGTGCAGGTCCGCCGCGGCCTCCCTCCTCTCCCTGCCTCTCCCCTGCCGGACGGCCCATCCTCCGCGCGCCCGGCCCGGCGGCGGGGGGCGGGGCACGGGGACCGATGGGGTGTCCCGGCGCCGCCCCAGCCAGTCCCCGCGCAGGGTCCTGGCCCGCCGTCCGCCTGGGCTCCGAGGACTCGGGGCCCCGCGCGTGATGAAGGCCCTCGCGGCGGGATGTGCGGTCGCACGCCCTGTCCCGGGCCGCCTATTTATAGCAGGTGGCGCTGCCCAACGCTCTCGTCCCGCGGTGCTCTCGGCAGGTGGCACCGCCCGCCCGCCCTTCGCTCCCCCGCGGCAGTGTCGCCTCATCTGCACCCTCGCTTTCACCTCGCGAAATGGACAAAGTGAAAACGCGGGAAGGCGACCTCGCCACCTGGCCCTCCCCTCCATCGCCCCCTCGTCCTGTCCCAGGGTTGGACACAAAGGCAAGGAGGGAACTGAGGCAGGGTCATTCTGTGGGGCGCCGGCAGGCAAGGCAGGGGCTCAAACAGCCAAGGCTGAAGTGTCGCCCCCGCCATGAAACCCCAGGCAGCCCCATTTGTGAGCCGCGCGGGTGACGCAGCCGCTCGGCCCGGCGCCTCTTCCCTCCCGCGGGGCCAGCGCGCGCACGCGCACACTCACACGCCGCGCACACACCCCCCTCGCCTCCCCTCTCCTACCCTAGCTGCGCCTACCCTAGAGCGGGCTTCGGGGAAGTTCCCGGCGGCCTTGGGGTGTGAAGAGAGCCCCGGGAGACGGAAGCCGGCGGCGAGAGCTGGCTCCCAGGCCGAGGGGGTGGCCGGGTGCAGGAAACCGGCCAACCTGCCACACTCCTGCCCCAGCAGGTAAATTGGGGCAGTTTCACTCCCGGGGGGAGGGGTGGGGTGGGAGCGAAGGGGATCTGAGGCAAGTAAGGGACGGAGCACCAACTCCGGAGACGAGTGAGCAGGGAAGGGAGAGCAGGGAGGAGAGGGAGTGGGGCGCGGGGGCCTGGGGAGGAGGCAGCCGCCGAAGGAGGCGGCGGTGGAGGAGCCAGGCGGCCTCTTGCAGGGTTTTTTTTTTTTTTGCTCAGTGGAACTGGAAGCTGACTTCGGGGAAGTGGCTGAGAGTTTGGGCAGCAGAGTTGGACTTAAACCCAATTCCCAACTCCACCACCGGGTTGGCTTGGGCAAGCTGCTAGACCTCGATTCTCCTCCATTCTCTTCCCTGTAAAATGGGACGGATACGTGCTTTGGAGGCCCAGTGGGAGGATAAAATGGGAAAGTGCGTGTATAGTGCTTAGCTCGCTGGCGCGAATGCAGACCCCAACTACTAACAGCTGCTATCATTACCGTGGCTCAGGAGGCAGATAGAAATCCGAGGTTCTCCCCTCGCCCCCAATCCTAACGGTGTGTTCTTAAAAGTTGATTGAAGCTCTTCGAAGCCTTTTTGACTAGACCTGCCCTATGGGATGCTCCCATCCAGGGAAGGTGTATTTCAGTGGGACACAAAAGTTTTATCCACAGTTTGATTTAAAACACTCATATAAGTGGTAGCTATTCTGGGGCGACTGGGTGGCTCAGTCTGTTAAGCATCTGCCTTCAGCTCAGATTATGATCCTGGAGTTCTGGGATCGAGTCCCCTATCCGGCTCCCTGCTCAGCCAGGAGTCAGCTGCTCCCTCTCCCTCTGCCCCTCACCCTGCTCATGCTGTCTCTCTCTCAAGGGCTCTCTCTCTCAAATAAATAAATACAATTAAAAAAAAAAAGTGGTAGCTGTTATTCGTAGAGGAGCCAGTCTATTTGGGGCACTATGGTAGGTACTTGACATATATTGTCTCTAATCCTAACAAAAATTCTGCTGTACGGAGATTATTAAATCCTGCTTGACTAATGAGGAAAATAAGAGGTTAATGCCTCTTTGAGGCCACGCGCTAGTAGGTGCTGGGACCCCCACGATCCAGAGCTGCTTGTAACATACTTTCTCTCCGGCCACTGTATACCTCTCTTGTAGCGCTCAGCTCATTCTTTGTTATAGCATAATTATTTGTGTACTTAGCCTTGAATTTTTTTTAAGAGAGGGAAAAATATATGCAGACATAAATACTCTAATGGCTAGAACATATGCTGGGTTATGGAAATTGTTCTTCATTAGGTTATAAGACCAGGTAAACCATTTAAGCCATATCGCTGTCTCTTGGATCACACCATGATTATTTCACATCTTTATCTCCAGTTCTCCCGAACAGTTCTCATTCCCTCTCTGCAGCAGCCTTCTGAACACACCTACCTGCAGAGAGCTAAGATGTCAAGACAGGTACATCGTCATCCATTCCACGGACACCCCCAAACTGCCTTTCACACATATTCTGCCAGATGATGGTTGAAACTATGACCTAAAAACCCTGCCTGCCGGCCACTGCCCCTGGAAGATGGGGTCGGGCCAAGGCTGGGCACTGCATGCAGATCCTGGCTCAAACCCCCTCCCACCTGCCACTCCACTCCCTTTTCTCTTCCTCACTAACCCCCTCCACCCCTACTCCATCCACACCTCCAGTTCCAGAGTGCAGGAAAACTTAGCACAGGCAGGAAGCCAGATGGAGTGCTCATCAGGTCACCAAGATAGAAAGTGAAAGGCGCGGGGAACAGAGATAGGCCTAGACCCAGAGTCCCTCACATTATTGTGGTGTGGAGGGGGAAACCTTCCTTCTCCCCCACCCCACTGCTAAAATCTTGCAAGTTGCAGCTCAGAGTTACAACCTAGTGGGAAATGACCTTTTGCCCTGACCCCACCCTGGGTTAGAGAAGGGCCATGGCCTTGTGAGAAGCTGTGATTTCTGCATTACTGTTCCAATTTCCAGGGCCAGTTGGTGCCCTTGGAATGATAATAAGGGATTTTACAATACTCTTAGCTTCCTGGATACAGAACTTCCTTTATAAGATGTGATAAAGATTTCCAAACCTTTTTGCCATAAAGCTTTGTCTCAGAGAGTAGGGGATAGCCTGTCATCAATCTCTTTTGCGCTCATTGTTGAGGGGGCTTTGGAACCAATGGTGATACCTGGGAGAGCAGGTTGAAGACTGGCAAACCAGGAAGGGACATCCATGTTGTCCCATGGTAGAGTGGACAGGTTAAGAGCTAACCATCCAGCCGGTATCTGCCAAGTGCCATTGCTCTTGGAGGAAAGTCGCTCCTTGCCCCTGTTGTGCAGGTATACCACTGTGTGAGGCGGGGCAGCAGGGCCTTGGTGATGGCTGCAGAGAGCTTCCTGGCTGCCCAGGAAGGTATTCTGTGCATAGTTCTCTAAGTCACTAATAACAAAACTGAGTAGGGAGTGGGGCTAAACACTGCTGTGACTCTGCCTCAGACCCTTGATTCTCTTGACTAATGTGACTCCCAGGAACACAAGGAGCATAGAGCTCTTCCCCACATGGGGCATTTACTGAGCTTTTGGCTCAGTGAGTGAAAGCCCCGGATGGGAAGGCATCAACAGTCATGGCTGCCGCCACCTCCTTGTATGGACAACCTCTGCACCCCCAGCTCCTCCTGAAATCCTGCCATGAATCATTCTTTTGGAGGCTTCCCTTATAGATTCTTTCCTAACTAAGTCCTTTGCAGCATATTTAATTGTACATTGTCAAAGGTCAGGAGCATTAATATCAACTTAAAGATGGCCATGGGGCTCTAGAAAATTGTGAGCCATTGCTGCCATTAAATCAACTGGGAAGCTCAGGGACTGAAAGAAACAACAGAGGCCACTTTACTTTTAAAAGGCTAAGGGAACCACATATAAATCTAGAATGAAAAGTCTTTGGTTAATGTAGAAAAGAGACCTTTCATAAAATTACTCATTATTATTAAATCTGTCAGTTGTTTAAATGTTCATAGTTGTTTGGAACCCAAACTCTTATTGCTACGATAAGTTTTCACCTAATTTCCAAATACGCATAATAAGGTAAGCATTCTTAACTAGTGGGCCTGTTTCCAAAATTGGCATCAATAAAGGCAAGAAATTAAGATTACACAGGATAGAACCCTGAGACAATAAGGTAGTTCACTGGGGATGCTTGCTCCCATGGATTGGGGGTGAATTTCTGGAGCCCGAGGTGGAGAAGGTTTCTGAGGCAAGCCTAAGCTCAGTGGGAGAGGGAGCGAGATGGAGAAGCCGCATGGAAGCATGGAAAAAGGCAGCACTGCAGAAACAGGACAATGCTGGGTGACTCCCCAGTCCTGCCAACCGAAGGCATGACTGGTAGCGCGTAAGCCACACGTTAAGTCATTAGCTTTAAGGAATATTCCTCCTTGGGGGCATTCTGGGTGGCTTAGGGGGTTAAGCATCGACTCTTGGTTTTGGCTCAGGTCCTGATCTCAGGGTCCTTAGATCGAGCCCCACATCAGGCTCCACACTCAGTGGAGGGTCTGCTTGGGGTTCTCTCTCTCCCTCTCTCCTTGCCCCTGCCCCCTGTGCACTCATGTGCACTCTCTTTCTCTCAATAAGTGAACAAATCTTAAAAAAAAAAAGAAATATTCCTCATTGATAAGGAAATGGATTGAAATCAAATGAGTGAATACATTACATTGTTTAGCCTACAGTACTAGGGCCTTGAGATTACTTTCTGAAAGGCACAAGAATGATAAAACATAGTACAGTAAAAAAATAAAATAAAATGAGCAGATAACCTATGTGGATCTTGGAATTTCAGAGTTTAAATAAACAAAAATTGCACTGCATGGGAGACTCATGCTTACCATGGATGAGACAACATAAATCTATGTGCAGTGAGAACAAGTGAACTGTATAGAGTAAGCTTCTATGAAGTGTCTGATTTCCTTTTATGGACAAAGCAGATAAAACTCTGGGCACTGGTTCCATTTCCCTTTTCAGCTTCCTCTCCTGTTTGTTAAATCATTGCTCTCTCTACTCAAGCAACGGTTCCATGCAGCCCTCTGACAGTATCCAGCCTTTACTTGGGGTTCCCACGGACCACCTGAGCTGGTTTTGTGGGTTTGGGCATCAAGCACCAGGCTAAGCAAGTGTTAGATAGCATGTCACCTTTTGTTATGGCACCCGAATTTATCTAAAGTCAGTGAGAATTTCTTTGTATAAATTCTAAGAGTTCTTGATCTCGGGGATTTTACCCAGACCCGAATGGGCAAAATGACCAAGCTTCCAACACTGCAAGATTCCCACTTCATTTAATCCCAAAGGCTATTATGACTTTGCTGGTACATAAGGTGTAATCTCACATAGAAAAAAAAAAAAAAATGCAATCGCCGGCTAACTGGCTTCCCTGCTTTTGTCCTCACCACCCTGCAGTCTATGTTTAATACAGCAACCAAGTGAATGTGCTGAAATATTAGTTGAGCAATATCACTGCTCTACTTAGAACTTAGAACATGGCTTCCCAGATATCCCAGAGTAAAAGTCAGTCATTGTAATGGTTGTAAAGCCCTATGGGACCTTCCCCCTTTCCCACCCCCACACCACTACCTCTGTTCTTCATTGCCTGCTACCAGTCCGGGGTCACACTGCACACAGACTTGCTCTTCCTTCCAGGCATACACTTGCCCCAGGGCCTTTGACTCTATTCTCTCTGCCACGGGTGCTCTTCAGATATCCACATTAGCCCTACTTAATTTACCTTCTTAAGTCATTGTTTAAAATGTTATCTTCTCCATGAGGCCTTCTCTCGCCAACTTTTTGAAAATGGAAACCACGGCTACGCGCCCCTCCACACGCTTCTTATCCCCTTTTCCTGATCTATATTTCTCCACAGCTTTTATTGCTCTCTGTTACTAGTATATCTTTTGTTGTTGTTGTTACTTGTGTATCTTGTCATGGTTCGCTCTCCCACCACCAAACCCCA